ATTGTATAATTTACGCGGTTTTTTCACGCGGTTTATCGTTATACACTGGAGTCGCTTTTTACGCGTTTTTTACAGGTTTTTTTTACGCGGTTCTTTTTAAGCGGATTTCGGAATTTACGTGATTTTTTACGCGGCACGTATCCCTCGCGTAAAAAGCGACTCAAGTGTACTCATATGTATCCTTTTCGTGGCATTTGTCATTGTTATAGTTATGAATGATGAAAATGTCAATTTTTAAGGCTAGAAAAGTTAGGTGCAATTATACTTCAAAAATTACTACATCAAAGAAACACATCATTATAGTAGAACTTATGATGGAGAATTCAGGGAATCAGAGCGTAAATCCCTTTTAACTCTGTTACGACGCCGGTGCATACTTTTTCGTAATCTATGTTGTTGAATCATACTCAGAAGGCCAGTTTCAATCGAAAATTTTCCAAAAAAGGGAAATAGTAAAACTATTCTTAATCCAATACCAACGAAAAGTTATGATCAACGCAAGGTGGGTCGTTTAGAATCGAAATACATACCTACTTAAGTTTTTATTATCGAGGTATTTGTTATTTTATGGAAAACTAATCAAAATGTTTCGAAGACGTCAAAATATCTAGCTACAATTTTGATTAACTTCAGAATTAATTTCAGGATAATCTATGTAAAGATTTTTGAGAATTCTATGCACTTTAAATCGTTAATAAGTGTAAGAAAAAAAAACTTCAAAACCAATTGGCCTACACAAAACAAACATCAATTCAAACATAACTTTTCAAAAGGACGTTTCATACGTTGATAATTAATAAGAGAAAATGGGATGAAAATAAATAAAAGGCGGTGTTAAATCAATGAACCATGCATTAAGGCCTTGATCGATTCTCTTAATCGACTTTCTCTTTTGTTAATAACTTGAGTACAGAACCGTTTCTTGTCGTATTTGTCATATTAGAAGCTAGATAATATCTTCTATCATCGATCTGTGAGCAGAAAATAGCTGGAAATGTCTTAAAATGGCCGTGAGGATGCAACGAGAAAGTCGACGAAGAAAATGCTACTTAGAACCTAATTCAGTGTTCAGCTTTAAATTTGCCCGAAAGCCAAAAAGTTCCTTGTTAGACCAAACCCAGTTGATAAACAGAGTAAAGTTTTGTAAACATGCAATTAAAAAGTGTAGTCTGAGGTCTGAGAGGCAATGTTTGCAACAAATGTCGCGGTTTATGCGGAAAATAGGGTAAATGTCGGCTTCGGCACCGATTGACTGATCGGCAACCAAAATTTATACGTAACTGTATTGTCCATCAACACACGTTGAATATATTCTCAAGATTCTTAAGCCTTTTAGCTTCAATTTGATTTCAGTTTTACGAGTGAGTAATCCTGTTATGAAATATTTTTCTTAAAATGAAATATATGTACTGCAAATTGCGGCTGATTTCAAGATTCCTGGTTTTTTTTAACTAGTTTCATAATATAGAGTGAAAAATTAAACTTTTTCAATTTAGCAATCAAACCTACATGTCAAACACTGCCGAATGCTTTTTTCTATGTGTAGAAGAGCAACTCCAGTCATGCTTGGCATACACAGTTTTGGTCACGAACTGCTCATTTGCTAATAACTTTACACACAGTTGACGGAACACAGTTCTTTTTGAAGCAGTAGATAGAATAGAGTGTAAGCTTGTTATAGATATGTAAAAAAAAAGTAGATTTTAATGCTAGTAGTAAACTGTATTGCACACTACACATCTCGGAATTTAAGTGTTAAATTGATTAGTGTTGATTCAAATGTTAAGCTTTACCTAATATTCGCACATCTATAGTAAACTATGAGCCTAAATTTTTCTAAAAGAAAAATAAATTTCAACATCTGAGTGAAAAAGTTATTACTAAATGAGCAGTTGGTGTGTACAACTGTGCATGCCAAGCATAACTCCAGTTGAGCAGCCTTCAGATTTTTTTGAACGAATTAAATTGGTAACTTTTAAGAATTGATGCGCAGTTGAATGCTTATGGCGAAATCCAAACTGCTCATCTGCCAAAATTGAGTTCGTTATGTTGTGAAGCATCAAAATTATCTTTTCAAAAAGTTTACTTATTTAATAAACCAAACTTATTGGACGGCGAGAGTTGGACGGTAGTTAGAAGCTTCAACTGGATTTTTATCCGGCTTCAAAATTGGAACAACTTTTGCATTTTTCCATTTATCAGGAAAGTATGCCAAATGGAAACATCTGTTAAATAATGTTACCAAGAAAAACAAAGTACTCTCGGGCAGCTTTTTGATGAGGATATGGAAAATTTCATCATCACCTGGAGCTTTAATATTTTGAAACCTTCTTCCTGACCATTTGATTCCCGTCAATAATGGATGGCAATCGATGTTCGTCAGTGATTGGTACTAAATTATGGCACAGAGACCGACGTTAAATAAAGAATTCACGAAGAAGAAGAGGAATAACAGTAGTCAAATTTCCATTGTATGCAGTGATGCCAACAATCAGTAAGCAGATGCAGTATTTGATTGCTGATCAACATCGGTTTACTGTCGGCCGCTCTACAACCACCAATCTGCTGTGTCTCACATCGTATATAACCTAAAGCATGTCGGATCGGATTCAAACGGACTATTTATTCAGACCTATCCGCAGCATTCGCCAAGTTGAACCATGCTATTGCGATTACTAACTCGACAGGCTCGGTGTAGGCGGTAATCTTCTGAGTTGGTTTCGATCATATCTTACCGGTCACCAAATAAAGGTAGCCATAGGAGATTGCAGATCAGCTAGCTTCTTCGCCACATCAGGTATACCTCAGGGAAGCCACATGGGACCGTTAATTTTTATACTGTACTTCAACGACGTGCATCTGGTCATCGAAGCTCCTCGGTTATCATATGCAGATGACCTCAAAATCTTCCTACGAATCTGCTCCATTGCTGACTGTCACTTTCTTCAACGTCAGCTGAATGTATTCGCTAGTTGGTGCAGTTTAAACAGAATGGTAGTGAACCCAGCCAAATGCTCCGCTATTACGTTCTCACGAAAACAACAACCGATAATATTTAGCTATGATCTGCTTGGCTCGACAATCGAACGCGTGAATCAGGTGAAAGACTTGGGTGTGATCTTGGATTCGCAGCTTTCATTCAAACAACACATTGCATATGTTGTCGATAAGGCGTCAAGAACTTCACTGTCAAAAATCTCTCTATTGTTCGCTTGTTCGATCGACGCCTGAGTATTGTTCAGCGGTTTGGAACCCAAACTACAACAAAGGTGCCGAGAGAATTGAATCTGTTCAACGTCGCTTTCTTCGTTTTGCGTTGCGTAGATTGCCTTGGAATGATCCGTTTCGATTACCCAGTTACGAAAGCCGTTGTCAACTCATCGACCTGGAACTTCTCCGGACTAGAAGAGACATAAGCAGAGCCCTAACCGTGGCCGATATCCTGCAAGGAAGGACAGATTGCGAGGCTATCTTGAGGCAAATTGACCTGAATGTTCAACCCCGACCGCTTCGTAATAACCTGCCTCTACGTCGCACAAATTATGGAGCATACGGTACGATTTGCGGACTGCAGAGAATATTCAACAGAGTTGCATCTGTTTTCGACTTTCATCTCTCCGTGATGCGCTTCGGCAAAAGTTTTCTTTTGTTTTTCGCCGGCAGGAGTAAGTGACTATAAGATATATGTTTTTTAATGTTATTTTTATGTTATGACCATGCTTGAATGTATTTTTTTTACTATAGTTGATAAGGTTAATATCATTGGGGCTTGATCCAGCCTGTTGATGTAAAACAACAATAAACAATACACATATACATTCAAAGTGTTTATATGTTACTTCATACGCAAAGATAGCGATTTTCAGAGTTGGTTGGAAATGCTAACATGAAGCTTTAGTGTGATAATTTATTAGCTAGAGAATGATCTTTAGAAGAGGGTTTGCGGATAGTTCCGTTAGAGTACGGCAGTATGAAAATTGGCCCTTCGCTCATTTTCAACTTCTAAAGATCATTCTCTAGCTAATAAATTATCACACTAAAGCTTCACGTTAGCATTTCCAACCAATTCCAATAAACATATAATTCTACTTAGAACTATCTTGGATTCGTCCGGTGATTTTGCATGGAATCTGGTGTTCCTCAGAACTACTTCGAAAGTAGATTTCTGAACTCTTGGAATGAGTTCCTTAGGCATTCAAATAGAATTTCATGAGCCTTGGAAATTTTGCTTGGTTGGCTGATTTTTTTTTTCAAATCCTTGATCTTGGTAAATATGCAATGCCCAATATCATGAATATTTATCTTCGTTCCAGATTCTTGAATATTTCTTCAGGTATAAATATTTATAAACCCAGAGATTAAAAAAAAATTCAAGTATAAAATCTGTGAAAAATATCCATCATGAGCGTCTAAATTTTAAAATGTATTTATTTATTTACTGTCGTCAATTAGATGTAGACCGTATGACCGCCAAATACTAACGATACATTTTCTCCTCTATTAAGTTAAATGAGTGAAAGAATAAAACAAGGAAAAGGAAATGTAGAAATTATAAAATACATTCTTTTCTTAATAATGTAAGAGAATTTTAAAATTGCTTGAGGAATGAAGAAATTCCCTGAGAATAACAAATGTTTCCAAGGAAAATAAAATACACCCCCAGTTGTACGGTAGTTGACACGCTGTTTTGTTCGAACACAAATATATACATGTCAAATAAATCATTTTTAAACTATTGCTTATAAATCATTGTCGATTTTTTAGTAATAATTGAGGAAAATACGCAACAAACAATTTTAGCTGCAAAATAGTTAAAAAGACAAAAATTGACTTATACAGCTAATTTTTGCCTGTATAAGCTAGTCTGCAGCTAAACTTGTTTATTGGGTAGTCTCAAAGAGAATCTTCAAATAATTGCGTTGCGGACCGTGGCGGACAACGTAAACAGAGGATTCGTTGAAAACATATTACTCGAAAAAAGAACGAGAAAATACACTCACCATCAAACAGCACATCCTGATAGTGCACTGAATCCTTATCCAAGTTTTCCTCCTCCTGTTTGGCCCACTGTCCGCGCATCTCGCGAAACCGTTCACCAATGGTTTCCTCAGTGATGGCCATCGATGGAACGGGACCAATTACTTCTCCTTCCTCTTCATCCTCAACCACATCCTTCTTAGTATCCCGTCCCAACTCTCTGTCCTTTCGTAGACATTCTTCCAAATCTTGCTTCTTACATTTACGACTCCGCCCTAGATAATCCGTATATTCAACCCTAGAAACAAAAATAGGTTGTTGTATCATTTCACGCAAATAAATTCTATGCAAATGTAGCAACTCACCAATTTTCATCTAATTTTGAACTGAATAGTACACGATTCCTGGGAGGCTCATCCTCATCAGATGACGAATGATTATCCGAGCTACTGTAATAATTCTCTGGCATCGGTTTATCGGTTTGTTTCTTCTGATTGAACATCACCAAACATTGTTCGTCACTGTTGAGCGATCCACCGGATTGCACCATGCGCTCATAGTATTTTGCTTTCGACTCAAGGATCTTTTTCGAACGAGCCAATTCGGCGGAATCTTCCAGCTCAAAAGGTGCATTCTTGCCTTTCGCTGAAGATGACTGTTTTTTCGCCTCGACCGAGGAGGACGGCGGCTTTTCCGGTTTGGGAGCTTTCTTCGGTACGAAATCATCGATTGAGGAGCATGCTTTGGCTCGGGATACTTCCTCCTGTTTACGGAGCAATTCTGCCTTCAAGCTGAGAAGCTGACGGAGTGAATCAAAACATAGGATCGGATTGAACTGAGGACATGATCTCCATTACTTACCGATGATTTATCGATGTCTATCTTCCTGTTCGGGTCATTCATGGCTGAAGGAACTGAATAGTACCTAACAAAACGATTTGCAAACAAATTTTACAGTAGCGACTCTAATCTGTTTGTCAACAAAAATCATATGGTCCGGGATCCCGAGCAAACGTTGTAGAGAATTTAAATTAACAACGTATGATCCAGCGATGCCAATATTCCACACGAAACGAATTCACGGCGAATGAGAACTACCCAAATTTGAGATTAGTTCACTCATAATCGCCAAAAGTTCAGGAACTCAGCGATGAGTAAATTTGCCTCATGTTTTCCCAGGTTTTTCCAGGATTTTCCAGGGAAAAATTCACGAATTTGAGAAAAGTAAAGATTGGATTCACTCAGTCTATTGGTACTACCCTAATAAAAAATACCATAAACGAACGATAACCCTAATGATTGAACTATTCCACTAATGGTTTGGATACCCCGAACACGTCGTTAAGCAAATTAACCATAACATTTTTATTAGGGTGCTCCGAGACTGAATAAAATTTTCGTCAATTTCCTCATTTTCCGGCAGATTTTTTTAGGTTTTCCACAGGAAACTATGAGATAAATTTTACTCATCGCTGAGTTCCTGCACTTTTGGCGATTATGAGTGAACTAAACTCAAATTTGGGTCGTTCTCATTCGCCGTGAAAATTATTAATTATTTTATTCATGTGTTTCACTTAAACATTTTTTGTCAAAACATCAGCCTTTACACTCCATACACATTCCATACACGGTAATCGCAAAAAATTATTTTATGACTATTGGCGTTGACGGCACCGTCGAAAAATGTGCTCTTCCTGCAAATATAGACAGTTTTCATTGGAATTTTCAGAGGAGTGAAAGGGTAGTACAGACACAGACAACAGACAGTAACACTCGCAAATAGATCATCGAACAAGCATTTAACGGTCAATTTAAAAGTATCGTAGTTGGTAGTACCGCCACCAAAATGAGTAAAATTTTACACATTTATGAGTAATTACTAGTACAAAAATAAATAAATTTTATGCATTTATGAGCAGGGTGCCTTCCATTCATTTTGACTAAAAAAATGTTTTAAACGCTGGCCAGACTGAGCAGTTATAACATGTTATAACGGTTGTCAAATAATTGCAACACAGAAACCACCATCAAGATAGCGCTATAACATGTTATAACTCTGTAGTCTGAACGTACTATTAGGAAATTATTGAATAATAAGATATTATGATGGTATTTTGCTTGTGTAAGGAACAAGAAAAGATTTTAAAGTTTGTGTTTGACACATAAAACCTGTAAATTTAGCTTTGACAGAGCCACAATGAACGATTTTCTGATCGCCTCTTCGCGAAGAGTGGGTGAGATAAATGACAAAATCGTTTATTGCGATTCTCGTGCAGCAAGATTGGCTGGTATTATGTGTCAAACACAAACTCCACAATATTTTCTTGTTCCTTACAGAAACAAAATATTATTATAATATCTTATTATTCCATAATTTCATAAAACATTTGTTTAGCCAAAGTGAATAGAAGGCACCCTGTTTATGAGTAACAGATGCTCATAAAAGGTGTAAAAAATACACACATTTTAGGTGTAGTCCCGTTTTAGCCGAATATGCATACTTTATACTTTATAGTCAAAATTGAGTCCTTTATAGTACGTTCAGACTACAGAGCTATAACATGTTAGGGGTCGTCCATTAATTATGTCACACATTCAGGGGGGAGGGGGGTTTTGAAAACTGTGACGAGCCATACAAAAAATAATTAAGGTTCATACAAAAAATGTGACACAGGGGGGAGGGGGCGTTGAAAATGTGCCAAATTTGCGTGACATAATTAATGGACCATCCCTTATAGCACTATCTTGATGGTGGTTTCTGTGTTACAATTATTTGGCAACCGTTATAACATGTTATAACGGTTCTATAACATTCCCCAGAAAACCATTCCCCAGAATCTCATTCCCCAGAATCTCATTCCCCAGAATGCACCATTCCCCAGAAAAGCATTCCCCAGAATGAACCATTCCCCAGAAAACCATTCCCCAGAATTAAAGAGCCTGAATTTATAAAGAGGTGACACCTTATCCATTTGACAGGTCTTATGCTCGATTGGAATGACTTTTCCTATGAATTTGACAGACAATCGATTGTTCCAATTTTGAGATGTCGTCTCTTTATAAATTCAGCGTCTTTACCCAGAATGTACCATTCCCCAGAAAAGTATGCCATGTATTAGATTGACTATTTTTGTTTATTATAGTCACTCCTGGAATTTTCTTTCGCGTATATATAAAAAGAATAGAAAAACTTCTTAATGGATCAAGGCGTTTTCCTTTCTTTGAAAATATAAGAAAAGGAAATAATTAATTCTTTGGATATACTTTAAAGAAGGGAATATTCCCTTCTTTTAATATATGAAAGAGAACATAATTAATTCGTTAAATATATGATAAAGGAGGGAATATTCCCTTCTTTGAAAATATAAGAAAAGGAAATAATTAATTCTTTGGATAAACGATAAAGATGGGAATATTCCCTTCTTTTAATATTTGTAAGAGAACATGATTAATTCGTTAAATATATGATAAAGAAGGGAATATTCCCTTCTTTGAAAATAAAACAAAAAGAAAGAATTAATTATTTGGATATACGATAAAGAAGGGAATATTCCCTTCTTTGATTATATAGAAGAGAACATCATTAATTCGTTAAATAAATGATAAAGAAGGGAATATTCCCTTCTTCGAAAATATAAGAAAAGGAAATAATTAATTCTTTAGATAAACGATAAAGAAGGGAATATTCCTTTCTTTGAATATATAAAAGAGAAAATAATTAATTCTTTGGATGTATGATAAAGAAGGGAATATTCCCTTCTTTTAATATATAAGGAAAATATATAATCAATAGCTTTTCGCAAGGGACTCGGGGTAATGACCATTTTGGATAATAACGAGTGGAATAATGTTATAAATTTGTAATCGGTAGTTCAACGTTCCATGCACCGATTTTTTAATCCATCACGAGAAATCCTTCAACTCAGGTCGAACATTCGATTTATTTGGAAGAGTGCATTGTTTTTGTTTTTGTTCTATTTTCATTTCAATATTATTATTTTAAAATAACAAGTTTTCTCGAGATTATAGATATAATAAAATAAAAACATTTATAACAGCTAAGCAGTACAATTGATCGTGAACTCTCCAGTAGGAGTTTCTGCAATGGATATAGAAGAACATATTACGATTCATAACGGAGACGGGATAAGTTCCAATTCCATTAGCAACTTCTGACTAAATAAACAAGCTGAATTCTGTTCTTCAACTTCCTCTTGCTGTGGATCCGGTTCCCGGGTTGGTTGATGTTTGGTGGAAAAGATTACCGTGACATTGGAGTTGCACGAGCGAACAGCCTCGAAGTAGTGATGTGCAGCGGTCCTGATAATAGTGCGACTGGTTCTGGTGATTTCGGTTCTTTTCATACGGACATCTCCTCCATGTAGTTAAAAATATTAACCTGGATTTGAAAAAGATTGAGTTCATTGATTTTTTTTATGATGTCTGATTATTAAACCCTACCTGAACATGCGTGCCGGTTCCTCATTCGTGTACACCGAGATTCATGCTGCAGAATCGTGCTAATCGATCTTGAAAGTTCTCCCAGTGGCAGCGGTAAGGGCGCAGCAATAGGTGCAGGATAATTCAATTCGAAAGAATTTATTATTGAAATGATTTGTAGGACCGCTTTTCACAGTATTTACCTGTTATTCATATTATTTCTAAATAATTCAGAAACATTTACTCTGCTCTTTAGTTTACCAAACGACCTACCGAAACAATTAAAAATAATGGTTTGAAGCGAGAACGGTACCATCGAGTTTGACATGACGTGTGTACTTTGGTATACATTAAATGAATTTCTCACCGTTATTCTTCTTCTTCTTCTTCTTCGCATTTCAAGCTTATTGCATATCGCACATTAGCTTATTGCGTGCTCTCAACTTAGTGTTCTAGAGACACTTCCACAGTTATTAATTGAAAGCTTTCGATGCCTGTACCATTTTTGCATTAGTATAATCACAAACGAAGTGACAGACGGAGCGGCTCGAATACTTTGGTGACTAACCTTCTATTGCAATTTTTCAGTGTACCACATGGCAACACCACTACTACTGGATTGTACCACATGGCAACACTACTACTGCTACTACTGGATTGAACTAGCATTTTCACCAAATGTACTAGAATATTTTGGTTCTATCTCTTTCACTCTACTCAAAACTGAAATGCATAAAAAAATGACAAAATGATACGCACTCTTTGCACACTGTCAAAGAATCATTGTACACAAAATCAACTTTGTTCAAATCAAAACAAAAAAACTAACCCATCTGGTGGATGATGGCACAAGCTTCCAAGAAAATTCTATTACAGTGAACCACATTATTTAAATGGATTTCTTCGCCAGTAAGTCGTCTGTCACTTCGTTTGTGGTATAATTGTGTGGCAAGTCCAATCATACATCTATGCCAAAGGAAGTCGAGAAATTTTCCAACCCGAAAAATTCCTAGACCAGACCAGGAATCGAACCCAGCCACCTCCAGCATGGTCTTGCTTTGTAGCTGCGTCTTTATCGACTGAGCTAAGGGAGGCCCCCACCGTTATTCAGCCTCAGTATAATCACAAACGAAGTGACAGACGGAGCGGCTCGAAAACTTTGGTGACTAACCTTCTATTGCAATTTTTCAGTGTACCACATGGCAACACCACTACTACTGGATTGTACCACATGGCAACACTACTACCATAGAGGTAACTCTAAGACCACTGGGTCCCGAAGAAAATCATTATTATTTTTGGCTCACTCAGTACCAGAACAACGGTCCCAAGCAGTCCCAAGCTATTTCACTCACCCCTGCATGTTCTGCATGAATCCACACACCCCTGATGTTATCTGTCAAACTTTCATAGCGAATCAAAACAAACATAGTGTAGTAATAGAATTTCAACTAGAATAGGGTACGTTAATCGTTTGCTTGGGACCAATAGGCTACTAAAGTGGTGAGCCAATTTAAAATCGTTAGTTTCGTATTGATTGTTGCTACTACTGCTACTACTGGATTGAACTAGCATTTTCACCAAATGTACTAGAATATTTTGGTTCTATCTCTTTCACTCTACTCAAAACTGAAATGCATAAAAAAATGACAAAATGATACGCACTCTTTGCACACTGTCAAAGAATCATTGTACACAAAATCAACTTTGTTCAAATCAAAACAAAAAAACTAACCCATCTGGTGGATGATGGCACAAGCTTCCAAGAAAATTCTATTACAGTGAACCACATTATTTAAATGGATTTCTTCGCCAGTAAGTCGTCTGTCACTTCGTTTGTGGTATAATTATGAAGTCATATTCTCACCAATGTATTGCGAATTTCACACCAAATTGGACTAATAAGCGCGTTTTCACTTATTAAAAAGTGTGATAAAATTGCAAGTTTATATCTAATCGTCTTGGTGTCTTCGGTGCACTTATTCCTTATGATGCAAGCAATAAGTGCTCCCAAGACATCAAAACGATTTGACGGAAATGTGCACTTCTATCACACTTTTTGCATTTTTGGGACAGTCCAGTTTCAGATGCAATCATTGGTAAACCATATAAAGATTAAATTTTATTCTTTCTTTGAATAGTATAATTTTGAGTGTACATTTCATGAAATAAAGGATTCGTTCTCAAAGATAAAGCCGTGAACGCTCTCCATTTCGTTTGTTTGTTTTACAAACGAAATATACCACGTGGGCTCATTCCCTTTCGTCTGAATCTTCGTCACCCGTTTTCGATTCTTTTATCTTTTTCGGTCTCGTCTCGTCACATCAGCACGAGCTGCTACGTTTGCAAGTGAGAATTTTACCGAGAAAATCGTTTTATTTCTGGGTTTCTCTCGTTAAATCATTCGAAAATTGCATATTTCAAACAATTTTCCATCTATGCAAAGTGAATCCATTGCAAATACTCAAATATCGAGTCAGTTACAAGTGTAAACACCATTTGTCTGGCCTGGAAAAAATAGTCTTAGTTGGTTTAGCTAACATTACGAAATACCCCCGGAACGGTGATTCCCGCATCCAGTAAGTTTCCTCAGGAGGACAAGCTTACCGCGATGGCCGATCTACCGAAAATCTCCCGCTCGATGCGGGCCAGCACAGATCTGGACATCCGTCGCGAACTCGCCAACCGGCCCGAAGATCGCCCCACTCTGCAGATGTTTCGCAGCAAAGAGGCTAAGAGGTGAATGGTTCATGAAATTTTGTAATTAGGTATGAAAGATTATTAACTTTGCATTATTTTAGTGGTGTTTCATGGAAGGAACTGAAGCTGTTCATCAACCAAAAAGTGGATGCAACGGAAGCATCAATATTAACCAATAAGTTGCGCGAGCTTTGGAATCACTGCCGGGAGATGCTAGGCACCGAGGAAAATGCCGTCCTGGTGGATGAAGCAGCCATCTTCATCCTGCGATTGTTCCTGGATCAGAAGATTGTCATGCTGAAGCATACCTCCCGCATCAAGAAGATGTTCGGCCAGGTCCCGAATTCGTTGATCAATAAGATGTGCAAGGTGAGCTTAGTTTGATTCGCTTGTTTCGTTTTGGAGAATAGTGGAGAAGCTTCGTTTGTCTTTCAGCTTGCTAATGAAATGAGCAATCATTTGAATGAAGACTGTCGAAAGTATCTCGTGGAAACAGAGAAGGAGAACCAAGACTGTATCGTGGCCGTTTGGGGAGGACATATAAAATGTCACATGCCAGACAATCTCAGCGGAGACTTTAGCTTGCTAACGGTGAGGAGTTGTAGGGAGCCTTATGACTGAATTTAAAAATTACTTGATTTTTAGGACTTATCTCCTATGCAACCAGCTGAAACGAAATCTGCCGTGAAATTTTCGATGAAGTACGACAACAAAAAGCACGACCAACAACAGCCGCAACCCGGACCAAGTTCCTCTAAGTCAGCGGATGAAAAGTACACCCGAAGCTGGCTAGCGAAACAGATGTCACCGGATCTGATAGATAATTTGATTGAGCTGCTCAAATGTGGTAAATCGAACGATGAACTACAGGGTGAACTGGTAGATTTCTTGGGCTTCGATAAGTTTGAACTGATCGAGGAGGTACTCCAGAATCGGAAAATAATCATAGAGCGAGTCAAAGCTATGTCCCAGATTAATTTGTTCAAAGAGAAGGCCACCAAGAAGCTGGAGGCGATGCAGCATGCACCTTCCTATCTTATGCCGGTCATGATCCAATCAGAGTCGGAAAAGCAACTGCGAAAGCAGGTCAACAAAGAGGAGAAGAAACTGAAAAAGTTCCTCAATGCGGTGGGCGGAGAGGAAGAGGACGAAGAACTGGACCCCATGAAGATGAGAATGAATTATCAACAAAGCTTGCTGATGGCAGCCCAGATGGCCCCACTTTTGGATGACAGGCCTCCCAAAACGGTGGCTCCGAAACCTCCCAAACAGATTAAGTACCCGAATGTCTTCGATTCCTATAGTGAGGCTAAATCGCACATCGGGTTCATTGCTGGCGGAAAGCTAATGCTGCCGGACAACGTTGAGCGGAATGATACCAAAATGTACGAAGAGGTCAAAATCCCTGCCACCGATCCACCGCCCCTGTCGATTGGGAATAATCGAATTCTGGTCAGTTCCATGGACGAAATTGGACAAATAGCTTTCAAGGGTTGTAAAGAGCTAAATAGGATACAGACCATAGTCTACCCTGCGGCCTATCATAGCAACGAGAATCTTCTGGTCTGCGCTCCAACCGGCGCTGGTAAAACCAACGTAGCCATGCTGACAATTTTGCATACTGTCCGGCAGTTTGTAGACCAAGGCGTCATCCATCGAGATCAATTCAAAATCGTATACGTAGCCCCCATGAAAGCTCTGGCTGCGGAGATGACCAGTAACTTTGGCAAGCGGTTACAACCCTTAGGAATTTCTGTACGAGAACTCACCGGTGATATGCAGCTAACCAAAACTGAAATGCAGCAAACGCAAATGATCGTCACAACGCCGGAAAAGTGGGACGTCGTCACCCGAAAAGGAGCTGGGGATGTCGCCTTCATTAGTCTCGTCAAGCTACTGATTATCGATGAAGTTCACCTTCTTCACGGAGAACGTGGTCCAGTCGTGGAAGCACTAGTCGCTCGAACCCTCCGTTTGGTGGAATCCTCGCAAAGTATGATCCGGATCGTCGGTCTATCAGCCACTCTACCGAACTACATCGACGTTGCTCGATTCCTACGGGTCAATCCGATGATTGGCCTGTTCTTCTTCGATTCACGCTTCCGTCCAGTTCCGCTCAGTACCAACTTCATCGGTGTCAAATCTCTGAAAGCTCTCCAGCAGATGTCCGATATGGATATTATCTGCTACGACCGCTGTATCGATATGGTCCGCCAGGGTCACCAAGTGATGGTGTTCGTCCATGCGCGAAATGCAACTGTGCGAACGGCGACTGTCATCAAAGAATTTGCCCAACAGAAGGGACATATCCAACTGCTAACACCGGAAAGCAGCCCGGACTATGGCACTGCGATGAAGGCGCTTTCCAAGAGTAGAAATAAGCAGCTGGTAGAGCTGTTCCAAAGTGGCCTTGCAATGCATCACGCCGGAATGCTGCGGCAGGATCGAAATTTGGTGGAGAAGTATTTCGGCGAAGGAATCATCAAGGTCCTTGTCTGCACGGCCACCCTTGCTTGGGGTGTCAATCTCCCGGCGCACGCAGTCATCATCAAGGGAACGGAAATTTACGACTCCAAACACGGTACGTTTGTGGATTTAGGTATCCTGGATGTGCTGCAAATCTTCGGCCGTGCCGGTCGGCCTCAGTTTGACAAAAGTGGCGTGGGAACGATCATCACAACACATGAAAAACTCAATCACTATCTGTCGCTGTTGACCAATCAGTTCCCGATCGAGTCCAACTTCATCCAATGTCTGGTGGACAACTTGAACGCTGAGGTGACACTAGGAACGATCAGCAACGTTGATGAAGCGATCGAATGGCTCAGTTATACGTATCTGTTCGTGCGGATGCGGATGAACCCCCAGTGCTATGGACTGAACTATCAAGATCTACAGGAAGATCCAACGTTGGAGCGGAAGCGTCGACAGTTGATCAATACGGCAGCAATGGCGCTGGACAAGGCGCGGATGTTAAGGTATAATGAACGAACAGGTGATTTGAATGTAACCGATCTTGGGAGAACGGCTTCGCATTTCTACATCAAATACGACACGGTGGAGGTGTTCAACGAGATGCTGAAGCCCATAATGAACGAAGCGGACATTATAGCGATGATGTCCAACGCTCAGGAGTTTGAGCAACTGAAGGTTCGGGACGACGAGATGGACGAGCTGGATGAGTTGACGAAGATTTATTGTGAAGTTCCGGTTCGAGGAGGCAGTGAAAATATTCACGGTAAGGTAAACATCCTGATGCAGACGTATCTATCGAAGGGATTTGTACGGTCGTTTTCGTTGATTTCGGATATGTCGTACATCACACAAAACGCGGTGAGAATAGCACGTGCGCTGTTTACCATCGTAATTCGGCAGAATAATCCCATCCTAGCCGGAAGGATGCTGAACATTAGCAAAATGTTTGAAAAGCAGATGTGGGAATTTATGACGCCCATGTATCAATTTCCGATATTATCATTCGATGTGATCGAGAAAATCGAGCAACGAGGACTCAGTGTTCTGGCTTTGAGGGATATGGATCTGATGGAGATTGGTGATATGCTTCGGAATCACCGGCAAGCGCAGGTTGTAAAGCGATGCGCTGAAGAATTCCCATTGCTGGAAATCGAGGCATCTCTGCAGCCCATCACCAGGACCGTTCTGCGAATCCGCGTATTCATTACACCTGCGTTCAAGTGGAATGATCGCGTCCACGGTAAGACGGCAGAATCGTTCTGGATTTGGATCGAAGACCCGGAGAGTAACTTCATCTACCATTCAGAATACTTCCAAATGACCAAGAAGCAGACCATGCGACAAGAAGTACAAGAGTTGGTTATGACCATACCCCTGAAAGACCCACTTCCGCCACAGTATTACATCCGCGCAACCAGTGACACCTGGCTTGGAAGTTCCAATCTCGTTCCACTTTCCTTCAAACATCTCATCCTACCGGAAGTACATCCACCCCACACAGAACTACTTCCCCTTCAACCGCTGCCGGTGACCGTTCTGAACAATCGAAAGTTCGAAGCGCTCTACAAATTCACCCATTTCAACCCGATCCAAACGCAAATCTTCCACTGTCTCTACCATACTGACAACAATGTCCTCCTGGGTGCCCCCACCGGATCCGGAAAAACCATCGCTGCCGAAATCGCCATGTTCCGGGTGTTCAAAACGCTCCCCAAAGGTAAGGTCGTCTACATAGCGCCACTGAAGGCCCTGGTTAAAGAACGAATCGACGACTGGAAGCATCGTATCGAGCAAAAATTGGGTAAAAAGGTCGTCGAACTTACCGGTGACGTTACACCGGACATCAAAGCCATCAGGGAATCGCATGTGATCGTTACAACCCCCGAAAAGTGGGACGGTATTAGCCGATCATGGCAAACGCGTGACTACGTTCGAGATGTCGCCCTGATCGTGATCGATGAAATCCATTTGCTCGGAGAAGATCGCGGCCCCGTTCTTGAGGTGATCGTTTCTCGAACGAACTTTATCGCTTCACACACCGAACGAACACTCCGCATAGTAGGGCTATCGACGGCCCTTGCCAACGCTCGAGATCTCGCCAACTGGCTGGGCATCGGAATGATGGGCCTGTACAACTTCAAACCTTCCGTTCGTCCGGTGCCACTGTCCGTTCACATCCAAGGATTTCCGGGAAAACACTACTGTCCCCGAATGGCCACCATGAATCGACCTGCTTACCAGGCGATTCGTCAGTATTCACCATGCACTCCGGCGTTGATTTTCGTTGCGTCGCGTAAGCAAACACGCATTACGGCGTTGGATTTGATTGCATTCCTGGCCGGGGAGGACAATCCGAAGCAGTTCCTGCACATTCCGGAGCATGAAATGGATCAGATTCTGATGAACATAAAGGATAACAACCTAAAGCTGACGCTGGCGTTCGGTATTGGAATCCATCATGCAGGTTTACAGGAGCGGGATCGGAAAACGGCCGAGGAATTGTTCCTACATCGGAAGATACAGGTGCTGATTGCAACGGCCACGTTGGCCTGGGGAGTGAATCTTCCGGCACATCTAGTGATCATCAAGGGGACCGAGTTCTTTGATGGAAAGCTGAAACGGTACGTTGATATGCCCATTACGGATGTGCTGCAGATGATGGGCAGAGCTGGTCGACCGCAGTTTGGAAACGAGGGAATCGCGTGTGTGTTTGTGCATGATGTGAAGAAGAATTTCTACAAAAAGTTCCTGTACGATCCATTCCCAGTGGAATCGAGCCTGCTGGAGGTACTACCGGATCATGTGAATGCGGAGATTGTGGCTGGAACCGTTCAAACGAAGCAGGGTGTGCTCGATTATCTCACATGGACGTATTTCTTCCGGCGACTGTTACGCAATCCGGCTTACTATAATTTGGAAGACGTTGAGCAGGCTCAAGTCAATTACTTTTTATCGACGTTGGTGCAAAAAGTGCTGGATACTTTGCTTCGGGCGGGATGTATTGAGATAGCTGACGATGAACGAGGATTGATTCCGACGTCGATGGGACGCATATCGTCGTACTACTACATGTCGCACCAGAGCATGCGACACTTTGCCGATCGGATGAGCCGCGACATGAACTTCGAAGAGCTTCTGCGTGCGATGGTGGACGCCTGGGAGTTTGAACAGCAACCTGTGCGGCACCATGAAGATGTATACAATACGTGAGTATTGAAGTCTGGTATATTTTAGAAGCTTCGTTTACCATTTCCTTCACAACTTAGTATTCTTTAGGGACACAGTAGAACGTATGTTGTAATATCGCATCGAAACAGATGTACTTCGCCTATGCCGAATCAATGTACAAATTTATTTATTTATTCGTCAATCAGGTAATCGGAGACTACATTATTATCTAGTGATTCGCAGAGTTTTGAAATATTTTCGTCATTTTGCCTTTGACATATTTAGGTCGATCATTTCGCAATGTTTGTTATAGGCAGAAATTATCTGTTTTAGCGGGTCAAATTTGGCATAATTAGTACGATGGTGATCTGCTGTGAACAATTGTCAGTATCGTAATTGGCGAGAGGGTGCGTACAAATTTAATCTAGACACCAAATATGCTGAGTCAATGCGCTGTGAAACAATATTGTTCACAAAAGAAACCATAGCATGTTCGCGACGCTCTCTCAGTGTTTAAATATCAATTAATACGGCGGGAGCGGAAATACTGTCCATCCTAACTTGCGTAAAGCATGTAAAAAACTTTGTTTTTCTATTGTGTTAGTACGCCTATCGATTCGGCGAACCCCTCTACTTCCTGTGAGTGATGAGAAGTGAGCAGCGGGACCTGTCACTGATCTCGCATGATCACCACTGCATGATCGGAGACTAGATCAGGTCAGATACCAGAAACAAAAATTCAAGGGAATTACAACAGGTATAAGGAAACATATAGTCAATTGTTCAGTCGATATCGTTTGCTGATAAATAATGACTCCGTTACTCCAAACAAGTTTTTGAGCTTTGATTACGGTTTCGTCGAATAAGAAATGCGTTGAAGCCTTTGGCAAAATAAAGATACACTACCGCTTGTTTCACTTAGTTTGCACATTAGAAACTTTGCATTTTGCTGTTCAATCAGCCGGGATACAACAACCTTGGCAAACCACGAAAAAATAATTATGTAGTTCTCGGCATCGTGAAGAGTGCTTTCATTTCTGAACACTTTCATGAAAATACAAACTTACTGACTTGTTTTTCTTTATATTTTTCAGTGATCTAGCCAAGTTGTGTCGGCTGAAAATCGATCCGCTGTCCGTGGATAGTCCGCACACTAAGGTGTTCCTACTTATGCAGGCTCATCTCTCTCGTTTGCCACTACCGAATTCTGACTACGGAACAGATACGAAATCCGTTCTGGATCAGTCCATACGTATCATTCAGGTAAGAAACTTGCCAGTCAGAATGTCAGACATGACACATTTGATATGTTCACCATCCATTTCAGGCTATGATTGACATCACGGCGGAACGAGGCTGGCTGGTGAGCACCCTTGGAATCCAGCAACTAATGCAATGTATCGTTCAAGCTCGTTGGATAGACGATTCTGTGGTGATGACACTCCCAAACGTCGAACCACACAACGCTCACGTGTTCAACCACATTAAACTGGAGTGAGTCATGCGAGTAGAAGCGTATGCTTATTCATAATCAGCACTAACATATACACCTCTCTCCAATTGCAGTCACCCATTCCTAACTCTTCCAGCACTGAAGGAAAAATGTCACCGAAAGTACGAAAACCTTGCCGGTCCGTTGAGGCAGGAGTTTGAAGAACCGGAGATTGAGCAAATCTACAAAGTCATCTGCTCACTCCCCGCCATCAACGTTCAACTCGCAATCCGTGGCCCGTGCGGTAACGAGCCGAGTTTGGACCGTCCGGTGGTACAACCACAAACCCGCGAAACCTGGATGGAGATCTACGCCGATCAGGAATATGTACTGAACGTTCAAATGATACGGTTGGGCAGTTTCGAATCGTTACACATTCACTGTCCCAAATTCCCTAAGGGCAAAGACGAGGGTTGGTTCCTTACGCTTGGTCACCAAGCGGAAGCGGAATTGATTGCTATGAAGCGATGTGTCTACCGTAGCAACAAGAGTTCGCATCAGCTGTGCTTCAACGCGCCGAACCGATTAGGTATTTCATTCATTCGTGAAATATTGAGAACCCTTTTTCCTAAAAACCTATAACCTTTTTTCATTAGGTCGCTGTATTTACACCGTGTACCTCATGTCGGATGGCTACATCGGATTGGACCAGCAGTACGACATTCACTTGGAGGTGGTCGAGCCTCCGCGGAACGTACAGGAATCAATAGCAGGGGAATGTGATGCCGACTATTACTCGTTGTTCAAAGATAAACTGTGAGCTTCTGCTAATACTATTATTCCACTTGAAGTCTTATGAAAAATCGTAAGCATTGACGCACTAATTAAAAATGTGTTTTGTACACTGCTTCCGTATAATACGATACCCGTATACAGTGTAACAGGAGGTAAGTGTATAATTTCAATGCCATTTGTTGATGTTTAGCCAATAAAGCTGTGCTACATTTGTATAGAACTTGAATTTACTATTTTTTTTTGTAAATAAATAACGAATTATTTATTATCCTAGCTGAAAATTTTCGTAAATAGAGCAAAAGAACAGGCTACGATTTTAAGATACGACTGGGTGCACTATCAGGAGCGCAATTTCGGGAAATTTTAAGATATAAACCAGGAAAACCAGGAATTTCAAAATTAAAACTCACTGGCCAATCGTTTTCTGTCATTTCTAAATGTGTCAAGCCTACTGAAACTATTCATTTAATTTTAGTATAAACATTTACTTTTCTCTAGCGCGAATACGTTTTTTCCTTGATTTGTTTTTTGTCGATCTTGTTTTCCGGGCTGAGCACCAAAGCTACCGACGCCAGGGAGGCAGCTCCCACACCTGGACCTTACCTATCGACCCATCAACTCATGAACCGGGGACCAACGGCTTTACTTCCGTTCCGAAGGAAGGCGTGATCAGAGATGTTATGCCTCAGAACATCCCAGCGGCGCCGACTGGGATTGAACCCAGGCCTGCTGGGGTGAGTGGTAATCACACTTACAACTACACCACCGCAACCGCTTAGCGCGAATACTTGAACAGTGTTAGACTAGCTCAACATGTAAATTTTTGTAAGATTTCTACATTCGAAAATAAGGTTTATCAGTAGTTCCTAATAGCGAAACGGCCGAGTCGTACTCAGGTTATTTGTTTAGGTGGTGACCCTTATTTTAGCGAGAACCTGCTCTTTTATTTTTACGATGCCTTTATTACATTCCATAAGTAAGAGTAGCGTAAAAGAGAAAGAGATATCACAACAAATTCCTTGTTGCCTTCAAATTCTCACTATCATAACTATTTTCTCTTACATTGAGTGGGAGTTGTTCCGCAGATGATCTGACGAGACTACTCATAGAAGCTACATTCAAATTTAAACATAGATTTTCTTAAATTTCGCAGAGCTTCAATGAAGTGCTTCAAATTTGATTTTAATTTTGATTTTTTTTTCTGAAATCACAGATATTTCTTAAACTTCCCAGTACTACACTAATGTTTGTAGATTTTCTCTGCGGTTCGCAGAACGTCCTTAAAATTTGCAGAACTTTTTTGACTCATGCATAATTTTTCTGGCTTTTATAAAACTTGCAAGAATGTTGCAGTACCTTTCCTAAAGTTTGAAGAACTTATCTGAAGTTTGAAACGCGTCTTAAAAGTTTGCAGAATTGTCCTGAAGTTTGTAGAACTTCCCTGAAGGGTGTATAATCAAAAAGTGATGAATGTCTGATAGGCCACCCTCTAGTTCGTGTCATTGTCCCTAAATATGAAACTGTGTATAAAATGGTAAAGATTGATGAAGGTTTAGAGGTCGCGCAAATGAATTGAAATTTGTATGGGAATTACTATGGATGGATCACTTATTTAGCTCTACATGGCTACATGTTGAAAAAATGTAATATGTTGTTGCTATGGCAAGACCATAGTTTGTTGTTACGATCAGTTTTACAAAATATCATCTTTCTTCAAGAATGTGAAAATATGACGAAATAGGGTAAATTGACACACGAATATGTGCAATACAAAAACGCCAATCACACCAACTACAGGCTTGTTGTTCATTGTCTTGACAACTACATACTAATTTTCAACGTTTGGACAACTACAACCAAAGTTACAGTAATGTAAGTGAAAATCAATAATTTCCAATACTAATTCACCGAAATCTCCAAATCATCTGCGCATCCTCTAAAACTTCATCAATCTTTACCATTTGTTGCACAAGTTATCAAATTCATCACTTTCGCCAAATAAAGCACCCTATTGCTGAGCTTCTCTGTTCCTCTGGAGCTTGCATAAATTTCTTGGAGTTCGCAGAACGTCATTGAAGTTAATAGAGTTTTCCTGAACCTCGTAGAAGTTTCCGGATGTTTGCATAATGTACCTGAAACTCGCAGACTTTTCCTGAAGTTCGCAATACGTTCATAAAGTTCGAAAATCTGCACCAAAGGTCGCAGAACGTCTTTAAAGTTAACAGAACTTTCCTAATTTTTTTTATTTTATTTATTTGTCGTCAATCAGTGTAGACCGTAAAGCTCACGGCAGTTCCCTGAAGTTCGCTAATTTTTTTCTAAAGTTCATAGAACTTTCCTAAAAGCTTCCTTAGAAAATGGGAATGCGTTGAAGCTCTGATAACTCTGTAGTCATTCAAGGTGAGAGTTACCTAAACTCACTGGGTAAGAGTAGTAATCCTATATTTATACTATATATATATACTACTGTGTTACCTGATTCATAGCGAATATACGTTCTATCCGCCAAGATTCCAACAGCCGAGCAGTTCTGCAATATATTTTGCTGAGATTCAGTCAAACATTTGCCGAGACTCAGCTAACAAATAACATTTTGCTGAGATATCAGCTAACAAACAGATATTTTGAAGAGATATCAGCAAAAGTAAATGCCGAGGTAATCGGCTGTTGGAGATTTTACCGAGCTAGCTTAAGTGTGTGCCTTCGCTCACACTGCATGTAATTGAGGCATTTTTCCATAGAAAATGTACGCTCAGACATTCAAAACAAGGATTGGGTACCATCATGAAGAATAAACGTGCTGACAGTAGTGCACTGCTGTTAGTGACTCGTTTACTTCCCAATCATTCAGACTCTCACGAGGCAGTGAATGCCAAGGCGGATAACTTTTCATATTCATATGAAAATCACTCATTGAACCTGATTGTTTTGCACACTGGTTCGTTGTAAGTCAGACAACTCATTAGTAACACACACACACACACACACGACTGTCCAAGGTTAAAGGCAGTGCGAACGGAGATGCCCGTCCTTAACGTGGAGAATGTCGTCGTTGAAATGTGTCGAGAGGAGGGCACTTGGAATGCCGTCAGCAGGGCAGTCACGCAGATTATGTCGGAGCTGCAGCGTAAATGGAGAGAAGAGCAGCGATCTAGCAACGCCAGCTAGCGCTGAGAGTACGACAAGTGCATGAGCACAGCCACCCCCCGAAGTAGTCGCTTCACAGTGGTACCGGGGGGATCCAGGTAGAGGAGAGAGTAAGGAATGGGTTTTAGTGGAGCTGCATTAGGCAACTAGTGGATACCACACCGTGCCAACTTCACTACAGGCCAGACTTCTTGAAGCTTTCCTAAACCTTACTACAAACACACACACACACACACACACACATTTCTCTTAGGAACCATCAGCACCTTCCGCAAAGATGGTAGGGAATCCATTATCGACGTCACTTTCTGCAGTACGTCGCTAATGGCAAATATGAACTGGAGAGTGTGCGAAGAATACACCCATAGTGACCATCAGGCGATCCGGTACAGTATCGGCGAACGGACACCGGTGGAAATGCGGAGGACGAAAGTAAGCGAGCGGAAGTGGAAGACGAAGGCATTCAATAAGGATCTCTTCATCGAAGCTCTAAGGGTAGACACCAGCGTCCCGGGCCTAAGCGTGAACAAGTTGACCGAATCATTAGCAAGGGCATGTGACACAACTATGTCGAGAAACTGGAGTCAACGAACAGGCGGCGTCCAGCTTTCTGGTGGAACGAGGAAATTAGCACCCTCCTTGCTACTTGTCTTCTAGCCAGAAGGCGTGCTCAGAGAGCAAGAACAGAAGCAGACAGAGAGGAGCGCAGGGTGGTCAGGGCTGCACTGAAACGAAAGTTGAGCAAGTCAAATAGTTTCAAGGAGCTGTGCCGCGACGCCGATGCCAACCCCTGGGGCAACGCATACCGAGTCGCGATGGCGAAGATCAGAGGTCCAACAATGCCGGTTGAAATGTGAAAGTCATTGTGGAGGAACTTTTCCCGCAGCATGACCCAACGAACTGGCCACCTACACCATATGGCGAGGAAGATGAAGACAACGTTGAACAAGTCTCCAACGAGGAACTCATAGCAGCAGCGAAAGGGTTGAAGGCGAATAAAGCTCCCGGCCCGAGTGGAATTCCCAACGTCGCGTTGAAGGCGGCGATCCAGACGTTCCCGGACATGTTCGGGATGGTGCTGCAGAAATGTCTGGACGAGGGTCAGTTCCCTGATAGGTGGAAGGTACAAAAGCTTGTGCTGTTGCCAAAGCCCGGAAAACCGCCGGGGGATCCTGCATCGTATAGGCCAATATGCTTGCTGGATACTGTCGGAAAGCTCTTGGAGAGGATCATCCTAAACAGGCTGACGAAATGCACGGAGAGTGAACACGGATTTTCGGAAAGGCAGTTTGGAAAGGGAGATCGACGGTGGATGCAATTCGGACAGTGATTGACAGAGCCGAGAAAGCTTCCAAACAGAAGCGGAGAGGAAATCGATACTGCGCCGTGATTACGATTGATGTAAAGAATGCATTCAATAGCGCCAGCTGGGAGGCCATCGACAAGGCGCTCCATAGAATGAGGGTTCCAGACTACCTCTGCAGGATTCTAAGTAGTTACTTCCAGAACCGGGTCCTGGTCTACGCGACAGACACGGTGCAGAAATCGCTTAGAATCACGGCGGAAGTTCCACAGGGCTCCATTCTAGGTCCCACGCTGTGGAACGGAATGTACAATAGCGTACTGACGCTCAAGCTGCCCAAAGGAGTTGAGATCGTTGGCTTTGCGGACGATGTCGTCTTGGCGGTAACCGGTGAGACGCTGGAAGAAGTGGGAATGCTGGCGGCCGAGGCGATAGATACGATTGGTAGCTGGATGCAAGGAGCGGATCTACAGATAGCCCACCACAAAACAGAAGTGATTTTGGTCAGTAACTGCAAAGCAGTGCAGCGGGCAGAAATCACCGTTGGAGAGCACACCATTGTTTCGAAGCGCGTGCTGAAGTAACTGGGAGTGATGATCGACGACCGGCTAAGCTTTAACAGCCACATCGAATATGCTTGCGAACAGGCGGCGAAGGTCATCAACGCAATAGCCAGAATCATGCCGAACAATTCTGGTTCAAGCAACAGCAAGAGGCTTCTTCTGGCTAGGGTATCCTCATCGATACTAA